ATTTATCAAATAAATATTTACTTATGCTTTTATTTGTCTGTTTGTTTGTTTTGTTTACTCATTCCTTCATTTACATTTACACTTATATTTTTTTGTTTGGTTTTGTTTTTCTTTTTAAAATTTGAAAATAATAAATGAAATATTAGAAATACTTAAATAATATTATATCAAATTTAATTCCTCACTTTACAAATCAAAGAACACATTTTTTTCTTTTAACATATATTGAATAAATTTGAAACAAGAAGAAGAAAATATAAAATTTATTACAAAAACTCAAAGATTATATTGGTAAATTCGAAAAAGATCGTGTACTTACAAAACTACGTGCACACACATACGTACGCATACGTGCGTGAACATGAAACAATCACGTCATAAACTTTTTTCCTGACATTTCTCACGACGTCGCGTCAAAATTTCAACATATTTTTTCATGCAAAAAAAACTTAAATTTTAATGGGCAACCAACCAACCCTCATAATATTCATCAATTAATTCTACAAATACATGTACGTATATTTACGTCACTTATTTATACGTACGTTATTTGTTTATCTATTTATTTGTGAAAATTTCAACATATTTTCCTGTGCAAAAAAAAAAAAAACAAAACGAAAATTTTAATGGTGAAAAATAAATTTCAACCTGCATTCATTAATCAGTTGTATAAGCACACGTACGTATTTTTACGTTACTCATTTACGCCTACGTTACTTGTTTATTTATTTACTTCTGTACTTAACTTTTGTTTATTTACTTATCAGCTTAAAACTGTTTAAAAAAAAAAGAAAAAATGACTGCTTTTATGGTAAAAGTTTTGTTACTTCCAGAGATAAATACAATTATCCGGCAGAATAATGATTTATTAATTCCGGTTTTCGGTAAACGTTCATTCTCCCTTTTTCCATCTTTCCTCCCTTATGTCATAATCTCCGGCATAGCATTTATTGGACAATATTTGTTCGTTAACAATGAAATCTTTTGTTTAATTTGTAAAACATTAAAATGGCAGCATCCTAGCTTTAGTGAATGGAAGTTAAAAAAAAAAAA